TTTTTTGTTTTTATTGTAGAGATGAGGTCTCGCCTGCCCAGGCAGGTCTCAAACCCGCGGGCTCAGGCAATCCACTCACCTCAGCCTCCCAAAGGCGCGGGATTACAGGTTGAGCCACCGAGCCCGGCTAGCATTTGTTTTTGACATGGCAACACTGTGGTGTTGGGAATCTTGTCATTTGTCATTTGAAGTGACAATGTTGTGCTTGTGCATAAGCCTTGCATTTGCAGATTTGAAGAAAGTTAGTGCTATTTGCGGGCTAAAGAAGATGGGCTGTCAAGTGGAAGAAAACAAACACTTTCAACATATTCTTATGTTTGAGCTGAACAGAGGAATAAAGGCAGCAGAGGCAGCTCAAAACATTTGTGCCATGTATAGGGAGAATGCCATCGAGGACAGCACAGCAAGAAAATAGTTTTATCGTTTCCAGAAGGACCACTTTGACCTGAGTGATTCTCCACGTTCAGGAAGACCATCGGGCTTTGGTGAAGACCATTTAAACACTTGAATCCATGATGATCCACGCCAGCCAACCTGAGAATTGGCAGATGTGATGAACTGTGACCAATCATCGTGTGATATTTACAATCCATGGACAAATTTATTTATGTATTCATTCATTCATTTATTTATTGAGTTGGAGTCTCACTCTGTCACCCAGACTGGAGTGCAGTGTCCGCTCCCGGCCACTGCAGCCTCGACCTGCTGGGCTCCGGCGATCCTTCTGCCTCAGCCTTCCAAGTAGCTGGAAACACAGGCATGTGCTACCACTTCCGCCTCAGCCTTCCAAGTAGCTGGAAATACAGGCATGCGCTACCACACTCAGCTAATTTTTTTGATTTATTGTAGAGATGAGGTCTCACCAAGTTGCCCAGGCGGGTCTCGAACCCACGGGCTCAGGCAATCCATTCACCTCAGCCTCCCAAAGGCACGGGATTACAGGCTGAGCCACCGAGCCCGGCTCATGGGCAAATTTAAAACGCTACAAATTTATGCATCAACCCAATAGTTTGACTCCACAGAGATAACCACTATTCATCTTTTATGTGGATTATATTTTAAATACAATATAAATCCTACTAAGGGTAGAAAAACGACACCAGAAGGTCCTGCATCTTTCACATATCATGTCCTTGCCCTCATACCAAGTTAGGTAGAGAGAAAAGTAAAATATAAAATAAAAACAGCTAAAAAAAAAGTATTACTAGTGAATTCTATCAAGCATACAATGAAGAAATAATGCCAACTCTACACATACGCTTCCAGAAAAAAAGACAGAATATTTCCCATCTTATATTAAACCACAGATTGATATCTTTCATGAACACAGATGCAAAAATTTTGAACAAAATTGTAGCAAACTGGGTTCAACAATATATAAAATAGATAATAAATTATGATGGAGCTTATCCCAGGAATACAAGCAAGGTTAGTTTAAGAATTTTAAAAAATCAATGTAATTCAATAAAATAATGATGCTGATTTTAAAAAGTCAGACTAAAACAAGAGTATAAGTATACGTCGGGCTCGGTGGCACAGCCTGTAATCCCGCACCTTCGGGAGGCTGAGGTGAGTGGAGGCTGAGGTGAGGGTAGCATGCGCCTGTAGTTCCAGCTACTTAGAAGGCTGAGACGGAAGGATCACTGGAGCCCAGCGGGTCGAGGCAGTGTGTCCGGAAGCACCACTGCACTCCAGTCTGGGCGACAGAGTGAGACTCCAACTCAAAAAAAAAAGAGTATAAGTATAATTTCATTTCTATGAAATTCCACACAGTTCCAGTTACTCAGAAGACTGAGGTGAGAGGAGCGCTTGAGTCCAGGAATTCGAGGCCAGCTGAGCAACATAGCAAGACCCTGTCTCTAAAAAATAAATTAAATAAAACAAAATTTTACAAGTGTAGGGTAGGGGGAAGGGAGAAAGGAAAGAAAGAATATATGAGGAAGGGAGGGATAGATAAGTCATTACCTTGAATGCAGCAATTGTCTCACAAGTATAAATGTTCATGTTAAAATCCATCAAGGCTGGGCATAGTGGCTCACACCTGTAATCCCAGCACTTTGGGAGGCCGAGGTGAGAGGACTGCCTGAGCCCATGAGTTCGAGACCAGCCTGGGCAACCTGGCAAGATCTCATCTCTACAATAAATCAAAACATTAGTCAAGCATGGTGGCGTGTGCCTGTAGCTCCAACTGCTCAGAATGCTGAGGTGGAAGGAACGCCTGAGCCCAGCAGGTCGAGGCTGCGGTGGATGGGAGTGCACAGCCTGGGTGACAGAATGAGACTCCAACTCAAAAATATAAAATAAAACCCATCAAACTGTACATTTAAAAACATATGCAGCTTATTGTATGTCAATTGCACCTCAATGAAGCTGTAAACAATAATAAAAATTACTCCTTAAACATGTATGATCACCAGGCACAGTGGCTCACACCTATAATCCCAGTATTTTGGGAGATGGAGGTGAGAAGAATGCTTGAGCCCTGGGACTTGAGATCAGCCTGGGCAACTTGGCGAGACCTCAACTCTACAATAAATAAAAAAATTAGCTGGGCATGATGGCACATGCCTGTTGTTCCAGCTACTTGGAAGGCTGAGGCAGAAGGATTGCCTGAGTCCAGCAGGGTGAGGCTGCAGTGGCTGTAAGCGTGCCACTGTACTCCAGCCTGGACAACAGAGTGAGAATCTGACTTTTTTTTTTCTTTTTTTTTTTTCGTTGGAGTCTCACTCTGTTGCCCAGACTAGAGTGCAGTGGCACGCTCCCGGCCACCACAGTCTCAACCTGCTGGACTCCGGAGATCCTTCTGCCTCAGCCTTCCAAGTAGCCGGAACTACAGGCGCACGCTGCCACGCCTGGCTAATTTTTTGATTTATTGTAGAGATGAGGTCTCGCCAAGTTGCCCAGGCGGGTCTTGAACCTGAGGGCTCAGGAAATCCACTCACCTCGGCCTCCCAAAGCGCGGGATTATAGGTTGAACCACCGAGCCTGGCTGAGAATCTGACTTAAAAAAAAATTTTTTTTAAAGATGTATAACAGAGTGGGGAAGGTAATCCACTAAGTTCTTTGTTGTTTTTGTTTTCCTGTTGTTATTGTTTTTGAGTCGGAGTCTCACTCTGCGGGGTTCAGACAATCCTTTCACCTTAACCTTCCAAGTAGCTGGAACCACAGGCATGTGCCACCACGCCCGGCTAATTTTTTTTTTAATTTATTGTAGAGACAAGGTCTCACCAAGTTGTCCAGGCTGGTCTTGAACCTCTGGGCTCAGGCAATCTTCTCACCTCTGCCTCCCAAAGTGCTGGGACCACAGGCGTGAGCCACTGCACCTGGTTAAATCTTTCAACATGTATAGTAAATAATAAATGTAATAACATGCTGTAATGAAATGTGGTACTGACAGTAGAATATATAGATCTGTTCAGAAACAGATTGGAAGAGATAGACTCTAGCTAAACTCCTATTACAGTACTGTTTTCTTTTTTTTTTTTTTTGAGTTGGAGTCTCACTCTGTCGCCCAGACTGGAGTGCAGTGGCCACTCCCGGCCACCGCAGCCTCGACCTGCTGGGTTCCGGCGATCCTTCCGCCTCAGCCTTCCAAGTAGCCAGAATTACAGGCATGTGCTACCACGCCCGGCTGATTTTTTGATTTATTGTAGAGATGAGGTCTCGCTGCCCAGGTGGGTCTCGAACCCGCGGGCTCAGGCAATCCACTCACCTCAGCCTCCCAAAGGCGCGGGATTACAGGCTGAGCCACCGAGCCCGGCTTACAGTACTGTTTTCATATCTGGTAGGTTAGTGACAGTACAACACTTTTCAAATTTTTATATTCACATTTCTTTATTCTTTCAGATAAATCTATTTATTCATTTTGTCAAGTTCTAAGAAAAAAAGCCTATCATGATTTCAGCAGGAATTATAGTAGACTTATAAATGAATATCAGAATAATGATATTTTGCCGGGCATGGTGGTTCAAGTCTGTAATCCCAGCACTTTGGGAGGCTGAGGCGAGAGGACTGCCTGAACTCTGAGCAACATTCAAGACCCGCCTGGGCAACTTGGTGAGACCTCATCTCTACAATAAATCAAAATTAGCCGGGCGTGGTAGCGTGCACCTGTAATTCCGGCTACTTGGAAGGCTGAGGCGGAAGGATCGCCGAAGCCTAGCAGTTCGAGGCTGCGGTGGCCGGGAGCGGCCACTGCACTCCAGTCTGGGTGACAGAGTGAGACTCCAACTCAAAAACAAAAATGATATTTTATCATGTTTAATCTTACCACCTAAAACATGGTATCTCTCCAACTTAAAATTATTAATTCTATTATCCCTAATGTTGCTGCTATGAATGCAAAACTTCTAATAGTATTTTTAACCAGTTATGGCCAAACATAGGAATATTATTGTTATTATATATTAACCTAATATTTTCCTATTTTGTTGAACTGATAATTCTAAGTTTTTCAAATGATGACCTTAGGTTTTTAGGTATACAAGGATCACAGTCGTTTTTGCTTTTATAAATATTTTTTTTTTTTTTCAGTTGGAGTCTCACTCTGTCACCCAGACTGGAGTGCAGTGGCCGCAGCCTTGACTTGCTCTACCTTTCAAGTAGCTGGAACTACAGGCGCGCGCTACCACACCCGGCTAATTTTTTGATTTATTGTAGAGATGAGGTCTCGCTGCCCAGGCGGGACTCGAACCTGCGGGCTCAGGCAATCCACTCACCTCGGCCTCCCAAGACGCGGGATTACAGACTGAGCCACCGAGCCCGGCGGAGTTTCTTCTTAATAGAAAGAACAGAATTTGGACTGGCAGAGAATTGAAAAGCACATTAGGACGCAGGACAGTCTTGGAAATCCATGGGTTCCCCACGACTAAGCGAAGCAGCAAGTGACGCTGGAATGGGCAACGAGGAAGAGCCTGGCAAGCTTGGAAGCTAACGGCGGGAGATCTTGTTACAAGGCAGTAAGTCCTTAAGACTGGCCTCGCTGGAGGCCATGGATGCTCTCGGGGACTCATACCAAAGCTTCAAAACTGCACCTTATAACGTCTGCCTCTGTGTTGCCGAACACCAGAGGTTCGGCCTAGGTCCGATTGCTTGTTGCTCCCTGCACAGGAAGCCAACCTCTGAGACAACGAGTATTGCCGGGGAGGAAGACTTCATTATCTTACGGGCGACATCAACCGAAACGACGGGAGCCAAACCTCAAATCCGTCCCTTCCCACCCTCACCCCCACACTAAAGAGTTTATATGACCGGGAAGGAAAATAGGAGGGGCAGGGAAGAGGAGTTGGTTAACAGGCAGCAGGGGGTCCCCTGCGGGGGTCTAGCGTTCCACTGTCATCACGTGCGGGAAGACAGGGCTTGGGGAGGAGTAAGGAAGAGGATCCAGTCAGCAGGCAGCAGGTGTGTCTCCCCGTACAAATCGAAGGTTCTCAAGCTTCAGTCCTATGGGCATCCGGCTCGTTGGAAAATCGGGCCAGTTGCCTTTGGCCTTGGCAGGGGCTGGGGCTCCTCTCCGCCCCCTGCCACCACTCTCCCCCCACCACCCCGCCCGGCCGGGCTCACTCTCACCTGCGCCTGGATGGAGAGGGAGACGCAGTGGTTCGAGAGCCGGTACCTGCGCAGCAGCCGCAGACATTTCACCAGGTGCTCCTCGCCCGCCGACAGCTCCTCCGTGTCGACGTGGTTCACCCCAAGGTGGAACTCAACCACCGCCAGCCTCACCGCCTGCTGAGCCACGGGCCCCTCGGGCTCCAGCGCCTCAGCAGGCAGCCCCAGGGCGTGGTCCCTCGCACTCGGGCCATCGTCGGCCTCGGGCCGCTCCTGCTCGTCCTCGGGCGTGGGGCCGAGCAGCGCCCTGACCTCCTCCAGCAGCGCCCGGGCGCTGTATTTGGACTTGTACGGTTCCTTCTCCGGGTTTTTATGCAACTCCACCCGCGACAGGGCCAGCGCCGCCTGGAACTTCTCGCAGATCTCGGCCCACGGAGCGTTCGCCATAGCGGCCTCTACTGCCTCAACGTTTGCAGTCGGGGCTCCTGCCTCACTTCTGCTTTGCGACACTTCACTTACGGCTCTCGACAGGTCGGGGGCCACTGCAGAACCGCAGCCAATGAAGTCCGCCAGGAGAACCGCAGTGTGCTCGGCAGAGGCCAATGAGAAGACGCAGTGGTCATCGTAGCAACCGTTGTCATGGAAATGAAGCCGTCGATGAGGGTATTTCACCTCCAGCCCTAGCCCCTGCAGTGGTGCGTTTGTCTCTCGGCTGACCCTGTGCTGTGAGGTTGTGTTTCTACAAGATAGTGTTTGTTTTTCCTTTTTTTGGAGTTGCGGGTCTCACTCTATTACACACTCTAGGCTATATAGTAATGTTATAAGATGGGCCTCATGGAAATAAAACAAAGGAGATGAGTGTTAGGTGAGGCAAGGTATTTATTTTATTTCATTTTTTAGAGACTGGGTCTTGCTATGTTGTCCTTACTGGTCTCAAATTCCTGAGCTCAAGCGATTCTCCTGCCTCAGCCTCCCAAGTAATTGGGACTCCAGGCACATGCGACTGTGCCTGGCTTGCTATTTTTAAACAGCAAGTTTAGGAAAGGGCTTACTGAGAAAACGACATTTGACTAAGGATCTAAAGGTGAGGGAATGAGCCATGCAGACATTAAGGGAAATATATTTCAGACAGAAGAATAGCAGATGCAAAGGCTTTGACACAGGTGTGTGCCTGGCCTGTTCAAGGGACAGCAAGGAGACTTCTTGGCTGGAGTAGAGAGAATGGGGAGAGCAGTAGTTTAAGTCAGAGAAGTAATATGAGCCCAATTATGTAGAGTTTGTAAGAACCATATAGGGACTTTGGGTATTCTGAGATGGGCGTCATTGGATAGTTTTGAAGAGAAGATTAACAAGATTTGACTTACGGAAGTATTTATAAGACAAACTGAAGGCAGGACAAGGGGAGAAGCAGAGAGACCAGGAAGGAAGATACTGTAACATTCCAAGAGAGGGACGATGGTGGCTTGGATGAAGGGTGATGGTGGAGAGGGTGGGAGTCGTCATATTTTGGATAAAGGGAGGGTGGACATGATTTACTGATGAATTAAGCATGGAATGTGAAAACTTTCTTTTCTTGAGCCATTGGGGGAATGAAGTTGCAATTAATTTAGGGGAAGAAAGCAATGAGAGGAATTAGTGAGGGGAGATTAGCTCAGTCTTAGATCTTTCTAATACGCAGATCTGAGCATGTCAGTCTTCTGCTATAAGTCCTTCCCATCACTTTTTTTTATTAATCAATATTTTTTATTATGGTTTTGTGGGGTACAGTTAAGGGTTAGGTGTACAATTACGTTTCATTCAGGCACCCTGTTGATAAGAGGTGTTTCCCCATCCCCAGACAGATATTTGGTACTGTTAATCCCATCCCCCTCCCCCCCTTCCCATCACTTTGAAGGTAAGATCCAAGGTTGCATATGAGAAGCTTCTATTTTCTGCTTGCTTCTCCACCTTGTTTTTTTGTTTTTTTGTTTAGTTGGAGTCTGTCACCAAGGCTGGAGTGCAGTGGCACTCTCACGGCCACTGCAGCCTCGACCTGCTGGCCTCAGGTGATCCTTCTGCCTCAGGCTTCCAAGTAGCTGGAACCACAGGCATGTGCCACCACGCCCAGCTAATTTTGATTTATTGTAGAGACGAGGTCTCACCAATTTGCCTGGGCTGGTCTCGAACCCCTGGACTCAAGCAGTCCTCTCACCTCCACCTCCCAAAGTGCTAGGATTACAGGCTTGAGCCACAGCACCTGGCTAAGACTGTCTCTTTAAGGGGGAAAAAAGGGGACAAAAACTTTAAAAATGTAATTTGGGGCCGGGCTCAGTGGTCCAACCTGTAATCCCAGCACTTTGGGAGGCTGAGGTGAGTGGATTGCCTGAGCCCACGGGTTCGAGACCAGCCCAGGCAACTTGGTGAGCCCTCGTCTACAATAAAAAATTAGCCGGGCGTGGTAGCGTACTCGTATAGTTCCAGCTGCTTGGAAGGCTGAGACAGAAGGATCGCTGGCACCCAGCAGATTGATGCTGGAGTGGCAGTGAGTGTGCCACTGCACTCCAGCCTGGGCGACGGAGTGAGACTCCAACTCAAAATAAATAAAAATGTTTTAAAATGAAAATGTAATTTGGTACCTAATATGTTCATAACTAATAAAGAACTCTTATCAACAAAAAAGACAAATTCCAACAGAAAAACAGGAAAAGCACACACAGGTAAATAACAAATACAAATGGCCAGTGTGAGATGTTAATTTTCACTCAAAAGATGCAAATAAAGACAATGCAGTTCTATTTTGTCTAACAAACAGACCAAGGCAAAATCCCATGTTGCAGTGCTGTGGGGAAACAGGTTCTCATGGACTGTAGAGTGGGAATGCAAATTGGCACCAACTGGGAGAGCGACTTGCACCAAAATTGAAAACATTTTCACTTTAACCCTGCTATTCTACATTTAGAAAACGTATCCTAAGCTGGGATCGGTGGCTCAGCCTGCAATCCCGCGCCTTTGGGAGGCTGAGGTGAGTGGATTGCGTGAGCCTGCGGATTCGAGACCCGCCTGGGCAACTTGGCGAGACCTCATCTCTATAATAAATCAAAAATTAGCCGGGCGTGGTAGCACGCACCTGTAGTTCCAGCTACTGGGAAGGCTGAGGCGGAAGGATCGCCAGAGCTCAGCAGGTCGAGGCTGCTGTGGCCGGGAGCAGCCACTGCACTCCAGCCTGAGCAACAGAGTGAGACTCCAACTCAAAAAAAAAAAAAAAAAAAGAAAATGTATCCTGCTGAGTGCAGTGGGTCAAGTCTGTAATCCCAGCACTTTGGGAAGCCGAGGTGAGAGGATTCCTGAGCCCGTGGATTCAAGACCAGCCTAGGCAACTTGGCACGAGGCCTCATCTCCACAATAAATCAAAAAATTAGCTGGGCACGGTGACTCACACCTATAATCCCAGCACTTTGAGTGAGGTGAGAGGCTTGCCTGAGCTCGCGGGTTCAAGACCAGCCCAGGCAACTTGGCGAGACCTCACCTCTAATCAAAAAATTAGCCAGGTGTGGTGGCGCATGCCTGTGGTTCCAGCTCCTTGGAAGGCTGAAGTGGAAGGATCACCTGAGCCCAGCAGGTCGAGGCTGCGGTAGCCAGCAACGTGCCACTGCCCTCTATCCAGCCGGGGGGAAAGACTCCAACTCAAAAAAAAATAGCTGGGCTTGGTGGCTCAGCCTGTAATCCCAGCACTTTAGGAGGCTGAGGTGAGTGGACTGCCTGACCCCGCGGGTTCGACCCGCCTGGGCAACTTGGCGAGACCTCATCTCTACAATAAAATCAAAAACTAGCCAGGCGTGGTAGCGTGCACCTGTAGTTCCAGCTACTTGGAAGGCTGAGGCGGAAGGATCGCTGGAGCCCAGCAGGTCGAGGCTGCAGTGGTTGGGAGCGTGCCACTGCACTCCAGTCTGGGTGACAGAGTAAGACTCCAACTCAAAAAAAAAAGGGGCAGTGCAGATGTGACCGTATAGAAACTGCACATCATGAAGGGAAAAGAGCAAGTCACAAAACTGAGTAATTCCAATTTTATAAACAAGTTTGTGGAAAACTGCTCAGTGAAACTTTACATATGTGTGGTCCCTTTTGGTTTTTTCTTCTATGTTCAGATTTTTATACCCAGCTCTTATTATTTTTGTAACATTTCAAGCTATTGTCATTTTAGAAAAAAAGCCACCAAAATCAAAGCATTACTATCTTTATTATGGCATGAGGCAGTATTTTATACATTAACTCATTTTACAGTAAAAACATCTTATGTACAATTGTAGAGAAATCACTGCAGATAGCTCCAACTTAAAAATGGGCTGTAATTTTAGAGTCCAGAGTTGTTTTGATACATATTGGAAAATATTTTCTCAGTAGAAAACAGTAAAAATGATAACACCCCCCCCAGCAAACCCAACAAGTCCATTTAAACCAAACAGTAGTTGAAAACATTATACACTTATAAATATGAATTCTAGGATCCAGGAGAAACTTTAAGTTTCACTGATTGAAACAGTCTTTTTTTAATTAAAATATGTTAAGTGAAACTCCTATTAATTTTCCCTCTTTCTGCTGTTTTTTTGTTTTTGTTTTTTCCTTAAGACGGGGTCTCACCATGTTGCCCAGGCTTGTCTAGAACTCCTGGCCTCAAAAAATTCTCCCACCTTGGCCTCCCAAAGTACTGGGATTACAGGAATGAGCTGACAGTGTCTGGACTCCTTTTTACTCTTGATTTATGTTTCATTATTTTTCTTTAGACTAACCCATAATCTACAACAAACTTTTAGCTGTTCCTTCTATTTTTTAAAGCTGTTCCTTCTTAAAGAACAAGTACTATAACCTTTTAATTTGCTTGATAAGGGCCCCTTTCCTATCCAAATCATGAGATGTTTTGTTACTAAAGCATGCCCAGTATTTAGGCAAAACCAGAATCTAAAAAACTATAACCCACAAGGCATATGTGAGCTATCACATACCTTCCCCTAATTCCCCATGGCTTGAAGGAAAGCCATAAGAAACAGCAGTAAAGAGACACAATTTATAATTGAATCAAGAAATAAAAGCCAAAACAATTCTGCAAGCAGAGGACAAAAAAGACCCACTCTGGATTTTAGAACAGAGCTGAATTTCCAAAAGAAAAAGGATGCTAAGCTGGGCTTGGTGGCTCAGCCTGTAATCCCACACCTTTGGGAGGCTGAGGTGAGTGGACTGCCTGAGCCCGCGGGATCGAGACCTGCCTGGGCAACTTGGCGAGACCTCATCTCTACAATAAATCAAAAAATTAACCGGGTGTGGTAGCACGCGTCTGTAGTTCCAGCTACTGGGAAGGCTGAGGCAGAAGGATCGCCGGAGCCCAGCAGGTCGAGGCTGCGGTGGCCAGGAGTGGCCACTGCACTCCAGTCTGGGTGACAGTGAGACTCCAACTCAAAGAAAAAAAAGAAAAAAAGGATGCTGCCTCAGTATCAGGATCTGAGCTGGCTATCAGAGCCACTGTTATAAGGTGGTAAGAAGCAGAGATAAAGATTGGAGTAAGCAAGAAAAACCAAAGACTAGAAAGATTTAAGTTGTCTAAGTCATTGAATGAAAACAACACAGACCATGTAGTTTTCAATTTCCTCTCACAGTCTGTCTGTTCTGGGACTCCCAGAACAGAATCTCTAGGAATTAAGGCAGGGACAAAGTCATGCTTAAGCTCCTGTGCTAACAGAATGCTGCCCAGAGAAATAATGTCTGAGAAATCAGGCAGAGTTATCTGGCTAGGGGCTACATTAAGGTCTTCAGTTCCCCCAAAACAACTTAAAATAACCATACAGCTTGTCTTTATTGTCTCTAAGCAGCTAAAAAGAACCTTCAATAGAGAAGTAGTTTAACAGAAATGGATCCTACACTGTGGCTTTAGGAACTAGGCCACTGAGAGAAACTATATAAAAACCCCAACCTGCCTACTTGAAGCTAACCTCTAGAAACATCAGTGATCCATTAAGGTTTCACCATTAAAGAATGCCTCGTCGCCGGGCTTGGTGGCTCAGCCTGTAATCCCGCGCCTTTGGGAGGCTGAGGTGAGTGGATTGCCTGAGCCCGCAGGTTCGAGAACCACCTGGGCAACTTGGCGAGACCTCATCTCTACAATAAATCAAAAATATCAGCCGGGCGTAGTAGTGCGCGCCTGTAATTTCGGCTACTCGGAAGGCTGAGACGGAAGGATCGCCGGCGCCCAGCAGGTCGAGGCTGCGGTGGCCGGGAGCGGCCACTGCACTCCAGCCTGGGCGACAGAGTGAGACTCCAACTCAAAAAAAACAAAGAATGCCTTGCCATGCATCCTCACTCATTCTCTTTGCTCTCCACATTTCCGAGTGCTTCCTTCTTGCATGTGAGAACATCTCCAATGGGCTTTCATCACTCTTGAGCAATGCAAATCTTTCTTCCTCCCTTAATCCTTTCTTGGTAAATAAGGTTAATCTTCCAATAGGAAGAAGTGGAGTACCTCATCATTTAAGCACCATTTATCCAGCCTTCTTACAAAGAAAGCTATGGAGCCATCTTACACATTTTTTGAATTCCTCAAAGATGCTGGCTTACTATTAAAATGTACTTGTATATATACTATCTGTGAAGAATACACTGAAACATGAACCATCTTATAATGCAAAGCTAAAAATATATCCAAATGCACATAACTATGGATAATCTATGAAGGACACTACATCCTCCAAATCTAGGGTATACACTGCATAAACGATTATAACCCAGCTAAGTTTGAGATCTTGTTTCAAAACATTGCTCAATACTAAGTCTCAGAAGACACATAACAGGACCCATGAGCAATGTGTTGGGGGGAGGCTGAGGAATGCCAATTACAGAACAAAAAGAGCCTTGACTTGCAAAGGCCCAAAGTGGTCCTCAGACTGTCACACTCCCTTAGGTAGTTCATTTAGGAAGATCACTATGTAGACACTCTTAAGAATAAGGACAGGTCAACTTACAGAGTACAGGCAAATACATGCTTGATTTTTATCTTGTAACCTATAGACAATGCATTAGAATAAAAATCAAGGAATTCATACATCCTTTCAAAAGGAAAATCTATTAATGAAGTAGCAATAAAGTTACAAATGATAATGATCACATAAAATAACTTAGATGAAGCTTGTCGGTCTGAAAAACAGGGACTGGGCAAGTGGTAAAAGGAAGCACAATGAACTTTCAACTTTGTTTGAAAAATCATGTTCAGTTCTATGCTGCAAAACCTAATTCTTCTGGTTACATAAATCCCCTACTTCTAGTTACTGACCGAATGCTTTACTAAAACTCCGCTTCTGGCCTTTGTTTGAGGATCTGTTACTTTTCTTGCCACCTCCTGATCGCTGTCCCCTGAAGTTTCTATTTCCTTCCCTTTGTCCCCTGAAGTTTCTGCTTCTATCTCGCTGTCCCCTGGAGCCTCGATTTCCTTCCCGTTGACCTCTGAAGCCACCAAATCCTTCCCGTGGTCCTTCCAGCTCCGGTTGTTCTGTAGCCACAGAGAGCTGCCAGCGTCGGGAATCATGCCATTTCTCCTGTTGAAAGACGGTTTTCCCAATCTATTATTCTGTATTCTCATAATAAACATTTTACAGTTTTGGTATGTTAACTTTAAAATCCAAGAGAAAAGAATACCTGTATTTCTGTTACTGATGCGGTAGGTACATCAAAGCAAACACCCTAGAAATCAGAGCAAATAAAAGTTAATCCAACGTGCACAGTGAACGATATTCCAAGACTAGCTATTAAGTGAAAAACAAACAAAAAATGTCCACTTAATTTGAAAACCTTAGACCAAGGCCAACACATTACACCTCTCAAAAGCACACTGCAGAAAGCCAAGGAATATTGAAAAAAGAGACTCCAGACAATTTAGAACTTTCTGACTACAGAGATTATGGCTAACACACTGAGCTAACCCCTCAAGTAGCTACCAGTTACATCTTATACCAAAGGAAATAGGTTTGGATAGGCGAGCTGACTTGTCTAAGAACCCACAGCTATTAAGTGGAGCAGGTATTTACAATCTGGTCTGTATGGCCCTAAAGCCTACGATCTTAAATAATATACTGCCTACTACCAGAAAGACACTATTCAGGATGACCTAACTAAAAGCAGAAAAACAAGTTGGCTTCCTATTAGTTTTCTAAGTTTTCTTAATTCAGTCTCCTGTGAATTTTTTGTTTTGAAAGCTGACTTTTTATCCTTTTTTTTTTTGGTCAAGGTGTGTCACTCAGGCCGAAGTACAGTGACACAATCATGGCTCACAGTAGCCTTCACCTCCTGGGCTCAGACCATCCTCCCACCTCAGCCTCCCAAGTAGTTGGAAATACAGGCATGCGCCACCATGCTAAGCTAATTTTTTTTGTTGAGTTGGAGTCTCACTCTGTCACCCAGACTGGAGTGCGGTGGCACACTCCTGACCACCGCAGCCTTGACCTGCTGGGCTCCGGCGATCCTTCCGCCTCAGCCTTCCAAGTAGCTGGAACTACAGGAGCATGCTACCATGCCCGGCCAATTTTTTATTTATTGTAGAGACGAGATCTTGCCAAGTTGCCCAGGCAGGTCTTGAACCCACAGGTGGGTAATCCACTCACCTTGGCCTCCCAAAGTGCTGGGATTACAGACTGAGTCACCAAGCCCAGCCTAGGCTAATTTTTTATAGAGATGAGGTCTTATCATGTTGCCCAGACTGATCTCGAACTCCTGGGCTCGAGCAATCCTCCTGCTTTGGCCTCCCAACATGTTGGAATTAGAGGCATTAGCCACCAAGCCCAGCCAGAATTTTTTTTTTTTTTGAGTTGAAGTCTCACTCTGTCACCCAGACTGGAGTGCAGTGGCCGCTCCCGGCCACCACAACCTCAACCTGCTGGGCTCCGACGATCCTTCCACCTCAGCCTTCCAAGCAGCCGAACTACAGGTGCACACTACCACATGCGGCTAATTTCTTGGATTTATTGTAGCGATGAGATCTTGCCAAGTTGCCCGGGTAGGTCTCGAACCCGCAGGAAATCCACTCACGTTGGCCTCCCAAAGTGCTAGGATCACAGGCTGAGCCACCGAGCCTGGCCCAGAATATTTTTTAAATACAGTACTTATATATATTTTTAAGAGGCAGCGTCTTCAATGGGAGGCCCAAACTTCACCTGTGTGATGACTGTATGATGTACCTAACCCTGAATTGTACCTCAAATCTTTAAAATAAAATTTAAAAAATTTAAAAAGAGATAGGGTCTTGCTTTATCACCCAGGCTGGAGTGCAGTGTCATATCCATAGCTCATTGTAACCTCAAACTCCAAGGCTCAAGTGATCCTTCCATCTCAGTTTCTCGAGCAGCTAGGATTAGGCCGAGCGCAGTGGCTCACACCTATAACCCCAGCACTTTGGGAGGTCAAGGTGAAAGATTGCCTGAGCCCACAGGTTCAAGACCTATCTGGGCAACTCGGCGAGACCCTACCTCTACAATAAATCAAAAACTAGCCAGGCATGCAGTGTATGCCTGTAGTTCCAGCTACTTGGAAGACTGAAGTGGAAAGAACACCTGAGCCCAGCAGGTTGAGGCTGTGGTGACCAGGAGCATGCCACTGCCCTCCAGCCTTGGCAACAGAGTGAGACTCCAACTCAAAAAAAAAACAGGCCAGGCTCAGTGACTCAGCCTGTAATCCCAGCACTTTGGGAGGCCGAGGTGAGTGGATTGCCTGAGCCTGCGGGTTCGAGACCCACCTCAGCAACTTGATGAGACCTCATCTCTACAATAAATCAAAAACTAGCCAGGCATGGTAGCGCACGCCTGTAGTTCCAGCTACTTGGAAGGCTTGGATGGAAGGATTGTTGGAACCCAGCAGGTCGAAGCTGCGGTGGCCCGGAGCAGTCATTGCACTCCATTCTGGGTGACACAGTGAGACTCCAACTCAAGAAAAAAAACAAACAAACAGAAAAAGCTTTTGCCCTTGAGTAGGTTACAGTGTTCTTGATGCTCTCAGTCAGTGAGCAAACACAGTAAGGAAAAATCTACCTGAATAAATTCTAAGAACTCTGAAGTACTGAAGAACTCTGAAGTAGAGATAAAGATGTCCCTAACTCTGCCTGATAAGATTTAGTGATAAAGTTATAAAGGATATTGTGAAGAAAAAAGTACTATGAACAGTGGGTTTGGCAAGCATGGTGTACTTGGCATTGTGGAGTAAAGGAAGCTGGTAGCAATGAGACAGAGATGAAGCAGCAGTGGAGGAAAGAGGACAGAGCTGGGACTTTACCCCACATTATGTGGATTGCCTGAGGAGATGAACAACATGGTCAGACATGCAGTGAGGTTAAGATAAACCTGAACACTAGGCCAGTGGTTCTCCAAAGGTGGGTTCCACAAAGTCAAAATTATTTTCATAATACTTAAGACAGCAGCCTCTTCCACGCTCATTCTCAAAGGTACAGTGGAATTTCCTCGACACTGTATGATGTGATGTCATTGCTCTGATGGCTAATGGAATGATAACATGTTTTTAGAGTTCTGGCTTTAATTTCTAATATGTAAACATCAATAAATATGCAGAACTCAGAAGAACACTAGGCTTGGGAAGGATTTAAAATTTTGAATTTGAAAAGATCCTGAATAAGCCATCTAGGTGGAGATATTAGGGAAGCAGCTGGCTCTTCAAGTCTGGCATTGTTTGCAGAATGGCTCAGTCTGGAGACATAGTAGTTGTCCGTAACAGAGTGGCAACTGACAATCATGGATGAGGCTGCCAAGGAAGAAGCCACCATACTGTTTTCCTGCCCACATAAAGCTGCAGAACCAAAGTAAGGTTACAGGAGAGGCCTCAGCCTTACCAGTTTCCCTTTGAGAAAGACCATTCCCTTCACTTTGGAATCAATCTCCTCACCCAGCTGCTCTTTAAGTTCTTTCCAAGCATAACTAATGTTTGGCATTTCAACTGAGCACCGCAAGATCATGGTCACAAAACCCTTAGAAAGAAAGGAAAACAAAATTAAGTCCTGAAAACAAACCTAATTGATAAACACCTGCCCTCATGACTCTAAAATATTTCTTGAAAAGTTCTTCCTAAAAGCACCTTACACACACATAATTAGTTCACAGAGCCACAAGTATTACTTGGAGAACTTTGAGTAAAATTGGTAGATCGTTTCACTTTCACTATCTTGGTTACTATATCATAGTTTTTAAAAACATTGCCATTTGGCAAAGTGTATTATTTCTTGAAACTACATGTTAATCTACAATTATCTCAATAAAAACTTCAATTTAAAGAAAGATAAAAGTACACACCTTCTAATATTTCTAAGTATGCTAGCTAAATGTATTATATGCATCTATGCATATGTTTGGATATTTTAAGGGCTTAAAAAAATTAAGGTATAGGTTGGGCTGGTGTTTTTGTAGACACAAGCTCTCACTATGTTACCCAGGCCAGTCTTGAACTCCTGCCTTTAAATGATCCTCCTCCCTCAGGATCCCACTATGCCCAGCCCAAGTGTTTTGCTTTTTTCTTTATTACTATGTTTACAAGGTTTGCAATCATCACCACTATCTAAAATTCTATTGATGTGGGCAACCCCTTCGGGTCCTCTCCCACTGTGGGAACTTTTCTGTCCTCTCAATAAATCCTGCTTTAAATGAATGAATAAATCAATAAATTCTATTGGTGTAAGAACAAGTATATAAAAATAAGTAACATTCTAGAATATTTCATTACTCTCACCATAAAAAAAATCTCTATGCACATTACCAGCCACTGTTTCTGCCTATATGGATTTGCGTGTGTGTGTGTGTTTAAATGTGGAAATCGTAAAATAAAATTAATGTTTTCCTACCTTGATGAGAAAGTGAAAGCTGGGAAGTTTAAATGGAACGCTTTCAACCTGCTAAAACTCCAAATTACCAAGCGTCAGAATGTGACAGATACTTACCACATCTGAGTTGATCAAGGAGCGCTGGTCCACCGAGGTGGCACCTGAAATATGGGCCAGTGCTGCGGCCAGGGCTTCCACAGCTCCCTTCTCTTCTATCAGCTTCTCGGCCGTCTGCTTGAAGTGACTTATGGCAGTGGGAGGCACAGAATCCAACAGCCTATGGTTGATTGAGTGTATTTGTTGAGAGAAAGTATAGGAGAAGCAGACATTTCATTTTTAAGCACTTCAAGATGAATCAACTTTCAAGCCAAATCTTTCACACATGTAGCACATTATTTTTATGCAATGCATATAATCATCCACATTTCTGTAATGATGCATCCATTCCTTTGATTGTATCTAATTTTTCTTATTTTTTGAGTTGGGAGTCTCACTGTCACAAAGGCTGGAGTACGATCACAGTTCACTGCAACCTTGACCTGGGCTCAGGTGATCCTTCTGTCTCACCCTCCCAAGTAACTGGGACTACAGGTGCACTCCACCATGCCAAGTTAACTTTTTGTAGAGACATGGTCTAACTATGTTGTCCTGGCTGGTCGTAAACTCTTGGCCTCAAGTAATCCTCCCACCTAGGCCTCTCAAAGCTCTGAGAATATAAGCCAGAGCTATCATATCTGCTTCAAAAGATGTAAACAATTTGAAAATGTGTTTTTTAAGTCTTAACTGCTTAGATAAACCACAAAACAGACAACAAATGTCACACTACTGCTAAATGTAATGTAAGTAATGCTAAACATTTTTTAAAATATAAGCATGTGTTACTTATAGAATCAGAAAATAGCTATTTCTTTTTTCTTTTTTTAATTGAGTCAGAGTCTCACTGTTGCCCATGCTGGAATGCAATGGCTCGCTCACGGCTACCGCAGTCTCAACCTGCTGGACTCGGGCAATCCTTCCACCTCAGTCTTCCAAGTAGTTGGAACTATAGGTGTGCGCCACCATGCCTGGCTAATGTTTTGATTTATTGTACAGATGAGGTCTCGCCAAGTTGCCCAGACTGGTCTCAAACTCCTGGGCTCAGGCAATCCTCTCAGCTTGGCCTCCCAAAGTGCTGGGATTATAGGTGTGAGCCACCACACATGAACTAAAATTAGCTATTTCTACTCTGAAATAAATGTAACAAACGACCCCCAAATGAGGTTAAAAATGAAAAGGAACTTTATGAGATTATACATAAATTTCTAGGATGGGGGTCACTATTGTCTTGGCAATAATAAATGTCACATCTCAAAGTTGAAAGAGATCGCCCAGCCCAAGGGTGAGAACATGACATGGGGCAGCCCCTTGTGTCAGGGCTGCTACTCTAGCTCTCTCATATATGCCACCAGCATCTTCATCTCCTCTCCCCTTCCTAGTCATCTAACCTCAATCTTCCTTAACTGGCACCCTAGAGAATTCTGCCTGCAGGACACTCAAAGAAAAGCATGCCATGCTGAAATACACATTTTTTTTCTGGAGTCGAATTCTCACTCTGTTGCCCAGGCTGTAGTGCAGTAGTACACTCAGCCACCGAGTCTGACCAAGAAATACACTTTTTAAATGCAGAATTGAAATTCTTTCATTTGTTGAACTTCCTGAACTATTAATATGCTAGTATTGGTATCTAGTATTTCCTTTGGTGATAGGCTTCCCCCACCTATTTTTAAAATAAAGATCTACAGTAATTATGTAAAGAGCTCTAAAAACGATGCTCCAACTTGGTGATTTCTTAGCAGCGGATGTAGGGTCACTACTGGGAGGCCATTTGGAAAATGGTTTAGGTTATCATACTGCCAACCCCACTCACCTCCAGCAGTTACGCTGCATAGGGGAAACAGCCAAGGATCCCAAACAGCTAAGAATTCCTCAATTTGTAGGACAATCCCACACAAAAATTCTCTTTCCTCCAATGACAGCAGCACTTCCACTGACAAACACAGTTAATTAACCCAATCCTTACCATGTAGACATTTACTGCAACTTAAAGAAATAAGTGGTCAGGCTCGGTGGCTCAGCCTGTAATCATAGCACTTTGGGAAGCCGAGGCAAGTGGACTGCCTGAGCCCATGGGTTCGCGACCAGCCTGGGCAACTTGGTGAGATCTCATTTCTACAATAAATCAAAAATTAGCCGGGTGTGGTAGCATGCGCCTATAGTTCTAGTTACGGAAGGCTGAGGATCGCTGGAGTCCAGCAGATTGAGGCTGCAGTGGCCGGGAGTATGCCACCGCACTCCAGTCTGGGCGACAGAGTGAGACTCCAATTCAAAAAGAGAAAAGAAATAATCAACTCTCATTCTACCAAGTAGAGGACTAGATTAATGTAGATTTGGAATTTAAACTGTGATCCACTCAACTCAGTCACTGGAAGGGAAGCGCCTATGCCATATCTGAGATACCATTCCTTAAAATGTCTAAGACAATCCAAACTATCAATAGAAGTCTCCTCTAGTGAACAGGATTGGGCAGTGAAGGGCAGAGATAATGAAATTACCTTTGCAGAGTCCTATTTTCGCCCTGTCTGTTTGTATAATGAGGTTATCAACAATTTAAAAAATGAATAAAGCAAATAAACTTTTCAGCCTGTAATCCCAGCACTTTGGGAACCCAATGTGAGAGAACTGCCTGAGACCGGAGGTTCGAGGCCAGCATGGACAACTTGGTGAGACCTCATCTCCACAATAAATCACAAAAACTAGCCGGGCATGGTGGTGTGCGTCTGTTGTTCCAGCTACTTGGAAGGTTGAGGCAGAGGATTGCCTAAGCCCAGGAGGTCAAGGCTGTGGTAGCTGTGAGCATGTCACTGCACTCCAGCCTAGGTGACAAGAGGGAGACTCTAACTCAAAAAAAGAAAATAAATCTTAATAGAACAAAAATAAAAGGTCATAAGGAAAATGGTTTTAGGTTTTTGTAATGCCAACCCTACTCAAATCCCCTTACTGTACAAAGTATATGGAGAAAACACTACTAACAGTCCACAGTGGTGGTAGGGAACATACCTGACGGCATCTTTGCTGGAAGCTTTTATTATTTCTGTTGCAGAAGGAATACCTATTCGTTTAAACTTAATTCCCTATAAAACAATGAACCATAGTTTAATGCACAATGGCCATCAACTGTTTCCATAGAGATCAGTAGTCCCTTAACATTTATTTATATCTTTGATATATCCCCACTCTTTTAGTTGTCAAGCAATTTCTATAACCCCCTAATCTTCGCTTAAATATCTTTGGTGTCTTCACATGGTAAGTCTGAAATTGCCTTTCAAACATATAAAAATAAAAACAGTTTTCAAATGCAAATTTATTTCAAAATGGGCCGTCAACATATAAAATGACACAGACCTAACAATAAGCTTTCAATCGTGGCTACAAGCCAGAAATAAAGCAAATAAAGAAACCAACAACAGACTTTAGAACTCAGCATCGCTGAATGAAAGCTAAAATGTTTTACCGCTTTCTGCTCCACTTGTGCTAACTGATATTCTTCCTTGTGCTGATAAAAGCAGATGCACACCCCAGTCCTACCAGCTCTCCCTGTCCGCCCGGAACGATGAATGTAGGACTCTACATCCTGTTGAAATAAACACAAGGGTGACATTGAACAAAAATAGACAAACACCCAAACAGCCTGTACAGATCAGTGAACACCAGCAAGTGTGGCTGCATGCCAGAGAGCAGGAGGGAGAGGTCCCTCAGTACTTCCATTTAAATTAAAGACCTGTGACCATTTTTTAAGACCTCTAGTGCAGTGGTCCCTATCCTATGGCACATTTGCAAAAAGCATTGTCTAAATAGTGCTGCTCACTAGAGGCATATATGTAATTCCTATTTTCTAGCAGCCACATTAAAAAGCTAAAAAAAAAGTTAAATTAATTTTCATAATGTATTTAAATCAATATATCAAGCCATCATTTTAATATACTATCCATATAAAACGAGTTATCAGCAAGATATTTTATATACTTTTATTCGTTAAGTCTTCAACATCTAGAGTGCATAATAAATCCAACCAGGCACGGTGGTTCAAGTCTGTAATCCAGCACTTTGGGAGGCAGAGGCGAGAGGACTGCTTGAGCCCAGAAGTTCAAGACCAGCCTGAGCAACATGGTGAGACCTCACGTCTACAATAAATCAAAAAATTAGCTGGGCGTGGTAGTGCATACCTGTGGTTCCAGCTACTTCGAAGGCTGAGGTGGAAGGATCGCCTGCCTGAGCCCAACAGGTTCATTTTTTTTTTTTTTTTGAGTTGGAGTTTTTAAAAACCACCCTTGGCTGGTCATGGTGGCTCAGTCTATAATCCCCGTACTTTGGGAGGCCAAGGTGAGAGGATTGCCTGAGCCCGGGGGTTTAAGACCAGCCCGGGCAACTTGGTGAGACCTGTCTCTACAATAAATCACAAAAAAACCAGTCAGGCATGGTAGCGTGCATCTGTAACTCTAGCTACTTGGAAGGCTGAGGTGGCTGTGACCGTGCCACTTGCACTCAGCCTGGGCGACAAGAGTGAGACTCCAACTCAAAACAAAACAAAAAATCACCCATATCATCCTAGCAAACAAGAGACAGCTATTACTAATCACATGTAAGTAAACAGTACGCCAAAGGAACAAAACAAACTAAAATCTAGACATAAAACACATACCTTTGGTGGACAGCTTTGTACAACCAAATCAACTTCAGGGATGTCTAAACCACGAGCAGCGACATTGGTTGCTACCAAAACTCCAAAACTGCCATTTCTAAAACCTTTCAAGGTGATTTCCCTTTGTTTCTGTGGAATGTCTCCATGTAATGACTGAGCATCCTGCAAAATATATAAACTGACCTAAGAATACCAGGTCTAAAAATACAAACACTTTTTCTCATCATCAATGAGGCCTGTAAAAGACATTAAGTGATCCAACCTACCTTGTCAGTTAACTAACCCTATGTTTGAGCCACCCTCTTCACTTGTAAGATAAGTTATCATGACACATTAGGTGAGCTCTAACATATACACTCTGACTTAAAAGAAGCTTTCTCTCATTTCTAACCTAAATTAACTGGAAGTCACTAGATAAATGAAAAACAAGGCCAGGTGCAGTGGCTCAAGCCTGTAATCCCAGGACTTTGGGAGGCCAAGGCAAGAGGATTGCCTGAGCCCAGGGGTTCGAGACCAGCCTAGGCAGTTTGATGAGACCTGTCTCTACAATAAATAAAAAAAAATTAGCTGGGCGTGGTGGCTCACGCCTGTAGTTCTGGTTACTTGTAAAGCTGAGGAGGAAGGATCGCCTGAGTCCAGAAGGTGGAGGCTGCAGTAGCCATGAGCATGTCAGGGCACTCCAGCCTGGGCGACAAAGTGAGACTCTAACTCAATCAATCAATGATAAATTAAAACAGACCAAGAGCAACTATGTGTAAGGTGAACATTTATTTATACCCGCAGCTTTGCAGGCATGAGGGGAAGGACCTACCTGCTTTACAGATGTATTCTGTGAGAGCTCCTGGGCTTCTTTCTTGGTTTCACAGAAGACGATAGTCCGTCCTTGATGACCACTATACACTCGGATCACATCCCCAATAACTGCTGCCCTCTGAGACCAGTGACACTTGATAGCCAGATGCTTATGAGAAAAGGGAAAAAAAATCTATTTAGTAAAGCCTACCTAAAATCATCTGCTCAATACAGCAGTCTGAAATCTTGGTTTTGGAAACAATTGCTCAAGCCTGTAAGAGCTGTGTGCTGCCACCATTGCTTAGAGAAAAAATAACTAAATAAACTATTACAGCAGAAAGCAACAAGTCTTCCCCCAGGTCTCCTTCCTATCTTCACAGAGCATCTGACTTCATTCCTATTTTTTGACTGAACTAGGAAAATGAAGGAAAGAAAATACTATTTCCTAGATTCCTACAGGAAACCAAATAACTGATAAGTTTCTGTATGTTTCACCCTTTCATGTACTTAAAACTGCAATCTGTGGTCAGTTATTACACAGGTCTGTGTTCCTTAGGTGAAATGAATTCATCTGGATATTAGACCTGTAGGTAAAAACAGCTTCAAGACAAAGCACTAGATCTCTCTGCTACCCTGTAGTGTTTAATTTAGAAAACACAAAAATATACAACTCAAATAGAAATATATCTTTACCTGGCTTTTCACATGGATTTAATATTTAGCTGAGAAAAGTTTTATTTGCTAATCTTAATATCAGACAAGAAAAAAAGATAGTCAATTTTATATTCATTACATCAACTAAATAAATCATTTACCTCCACAGTTATTGCTGTTTTCTGAGTCTTTTTACCAATCAGGTCCACCTGTTCATATGTAGATTTCATGTATTTCTTGGCAACATTAAATACCCAATGAGGGCAAGTTGCAGAAAAAAGCAACGTTTGGGGATTGTCTTCAGAATCTTTGGGGGGAAAAGATCAGTATGAATATTCTAAATGAGCTTAAATAGTATTCCACCTAAACTAGCACCCCCACAGTCCATCCATCAGCAACCACATGAGGACAAGCAAGGAACTAAGAACACGAAAATGAAAAGACAAAGAGGTTTTCCATTGGGCAAAGAAATACAGTTGAAGTGTCATATGAAAAGGATCCTTTTTTTCTGACCATTAGGCTTTATAAACCACAAAGAAGGCTGAGCAGGGTAGCTCAAACCTGTAATCCCAGCACTTTGGGAGGCCAAGTTGAGGGGATTACCTGAGCCCACAGGTTCAAGAATAGCCTAGGCAACTTGGCAAGACCTCATCATCTCTACCACAAATCAAAAAATAGCCAGGCGTGGTAGCATGAGCCTATAGTTACAGCTTCTTGGAAGGCTATGGTGGAAGGATTGCCTAAGCCCAGCAGGTTGATGCCGGGGTGGCTATGAGCGTGCCGTTGCACTCTAGCCTGGGCGACAGAGTGAGACTCCAACTCAAAAAAAACCCACAAAGGAAATCTGTCCAGGATAACAAGAATGACCAGTCGGATGACACTAAATCAGGAAGCCCAGTAACCAACCAGTATAGATTTCTAACTACATATTTAGCACATGGACAGATACTATACTCACCTATTTTCCCTAATATTTCCTCAGTATTTAATAAATCTAGAATCCCTGTCTATTCATTCTTCAAGTTAAGCTACCATTTTTTGTTTATTTGCACTTAAGAGTGCCATTACAAGCTGGGCTCGGTGGCTCAGCCTGTAATCCCAGCGCTTTGGGAGGCTGAGGTGAGTGAATTGCCTGAGCCCGCATGTTTGAAACCCGCCTAGCCAACTTCATCTCTACAACAAATCAAAAAATTAGCCAGGCGTGGTAGCACGGGTCTGTAGTTCCAGCTACTTGGAAGGCTGAGGCAGAAGGATCGCCAGGGCCCAGCAGGTCGAGGCTGCAGTGGCTGGGAGACAGAGTGAGATTCCAATTAAAAAAAAAAAAAGAGTGCCATTACATGCTCATACATTTTTTTTTGCTTTGGAGTCTCACTCTGTCGCCCAGACTGGAGTGCAGTGGCCACGCCTGGCCACCACAGCCTCAACCTGCTGGACTCTGGCGATCCTTCCACCTCAGCCTTCCAAGTA